GTTTTAAGAAATTAGGACTCGTGACATAAAATGATAGTCCCGACTCGAATTTTTTCTCGAGTCGGGTCAAATGACCCAGGTCGATTCGACCGCTCAGAGCACTATATTTATTTACATATATTATATGATCTTGTTTCTACAAATATGACTCATTTTAGTTTTGATTTTCAGGTCTAAGTGTCAAAATGAATGATTTGATTGTGTATACATCTCTATCAAGTGTATTTGGGGTTTGTTATGATGAAAATGCAGTTGTTAAAATTGTGTCCCGATCTTACATATTATTGAATGAAATAAATGTATTAACAAAGCTAGGAGTCAATGATGGTATAATAAGACTTGATGGTTCGTCTGATACAGCGATGCTATTAAGATCACGAGCAGTTGAAACATTCAAGAATGTAATAAACCTGTATTCATATTATTGAAAAAATTAAGAAATGTCATGAAAATGGGATAGTACATGGCGATACTCGATTGACAAATATCCTTTTGGATAAAAATGGCAAACTTATACTTATCGATTTCGGATGTGGTTCAGATGCAGGCAAGGTAAGCTATATCAACATTTGACAGGTGCGAATTTGACACCATTATTCATTAGCTTATAAATTTCAGGAATGGTATGGAAATGGACCAAGATTGCCACTTTTATCTTTAAGGCTGATACGATTAACAACCATCAGTACTTTTGTCGGAAGATGGAATCCGCAAATCTTTACAGATTATCAAGATGATCTGTACACTCTAATACAATCAATTTACATTCACTTAAATAAGGATTATGTATTACAAGCACTTGAAAACAATATTGAAGACCTGAATCATGTTATTTCATTCTGGGATAAAGTATTTGTAGATGAGTGGAAAATTGCGTATGATTACTGCAATAACCTGAATTATGATGGTTTAAAATTTTTTATAGCTAACCTCTAATTGTTATGAACAATCGTTTTAGTTTCTAGTGATAATTATTGGGAAGTTTTTACAAATAAAAAGAAAATTTATGTAATTTTACATTCAAGTTTATATAGTGTAAAATACAAACCAAATGGCAGAGATGGGACTAAAAAAAATTAGTGAAAATAATAGCATTTTGTTTTTCTCTATCTATTTGTAAAAATTCATGTAATGCGAAAAATTTAGTTGAAGACAGAAAGCATGATAACAAAAAGAAATACTAATTCATATTGCGAATTCTTAAATTGCACATTACTGCACTACATTACTGCATCCGGACAAATTGATATTTAAATTAATCTACAATGCATGTGAATAAAAAATTCATTTCCTCGCTTAGTATAACTAACTCGGGATGATTTTGTTATGTTTTTTTGGCTTTAATCAATTATGAACTTCTGGGATCTGAAAATCTCATGACTGAAATTTCAGCCGGGGGCCCTGCCAAAATTATTCTAATCTTTCAACTCGCAATTCAAATTCGTTTAATACTAAAAAAGTTAATCAAAATTTTCTTGATTTGAAAACCTTATTTTATAAAGGATACAATTTCTATCCTCTCTGATCCATATTTAAAAGATCAAATATACTATAAAAATCTTAATCAAAGAAACAAAAAATAAAATAAAATAAAACAAAATTCCCAAACAATCAAGAAAAAAAAAAATCGAAATCATGAAACAATTTTTGGCTTTCTTGCTTATTTTTTATTGATTACTCTTTCATCGGTCCAATCTATTCCCATTCAACTTCAACAAAGAAAAGCACCAAAGTTTACAGAATGTAAAGGAAAATTTCTGGAAAAATTTAACGTTAAACTCTCACCTTTACCTCTCGATTTTGGAAAAACCGAGACCGTTACAGTCTCTGGAAAATTACCGCGTTACGCCTTGGAATTAGTAATGGTGATGGGGACGCGATCTTTAGCGAAAAGTGTGGATTTTTGTGCTTGTCCCGCTGGTCCTGGAACAAAATTTAATACACCGGTGAAATTTAATTTAAGAAATAACAATACACCTGGACCATTTAAGGTTTTGTTTCGTCTTGAAATTGGTGAAGAAATTTTGGTCCTATTTCCTAATTTCGGAAATTTGAAAATATTTTCGATTTATGTTCCGAAAATTTATCATTTCTAATTTAATTTTTAATAACGTTTGACATATTTTCATACACGTTTGACGAATACATGACGTTTCTAATATTCAGATATACATTTATAACATACGAAGCAAAGTGAATATTTAGTAATTTATTTTAATAAAAATAGATGTATGATATTTGTTTCAGAATTAAGTATACAATAGTAAAATTTTAATATTTTGTAAATTGATATCGATATGAATCCATAAAAAAATTTTTTTTTTATTTTTTTCTATATTGTATAGTTGGATAGCTTCCATTTGTAAAGGTATAGTGTTTTTATTAATTTTTTTTTTTTTGTCATTTCTTTTTAATTTCTCGGTTCGATCGCTTCGAAGCGTGAAACTTAAATTTTTTTATGGTAATTCTAAATAGGGTAGTGCAGATTCGTATTCATACTTGCAAAAACTGAGAAACACCCGTCTTGCGTGACCTCCTCTCCCTTTGCAAATACTAAATTGGTAAAAGCCCCATTGTTTTACTTTCAGGTTTAGATGAACTGCTCCATCACGTAAGTTACAACTTTTCGATCTATATGGGAAATCAAGTACTATGCGATTGACCGTTAATCATCATATAATTTGTAATTAGTTTTTTTTTATTCGAAAGAAATTTTAAAGCAGCCAATTTATTGTGATTATTACCAATTTATAACAAATAGTTTATAGATTGATTATCTTATTTTTAGTTTTCTTATTATTAAAAATATTTTATCAGTTAAAATGTATAATCATAACGCATGTCGAATAAAAAATTAATTACATTTTATTATCAATTAATAAAATAGTCTATCATTGCATTGTTAACATATAAAATGAACCTTTGAAATTTGTTGAAAATACATCGTCTGGTGAAAAAAAAATTTTTATAATCCAAAAATAAATCTCGCCAGATGTACATTTAGTTAAATGTAAAATACTCGATTAAATTTATATAATTCTATAAGTTATCGGAAAAATACATGAAACACTTTTTTTTTTATTTAATCATAAATCAAAGATCAGAAATTTTTATAACTAAATCACTATACTTCTTCATATTTACAAAAGGTTGAATTTCATCAAACAACTTCTCAAAATTACGATGTTCGTCATTATTAGGATCAAAGGAGGAACTAATTTGATAGGCAAAATTCTTCACCTTTTGTTTCTTCACAAATTCTTTTAAAAGGCTAAAGATAAGATCAATATTTTTGACATTAAAATTACTAACTAACAAGTGAGTTAATTTAATATGTTTACAATTGTTCAAAAAGATTTTCAAATCATTTGCATCAATCCTAATACATAAAACCAAATATCTTAAGGAATCTGGTAATATTTGACCCAATTCCTTTAAAAGGTTTGAACCCAATTGACAACTATCAAGATTCTCAAGAGAGAGATATTTAATGTGATTGTTGACACGAGTGATTAATTCAAATAATTGATATGTATCATCACTATTAATCCATGATAATAAAAGAAATTTGATTTTATAACAATAATTAATAATGGTATCAAAAGCCTTTTCCCTCTCATTACGTTCAAAAAGCATTAAATCTAAATGTTCAAGTTCAAGACCAACTTTTCGAAGTAATAAATTAATTCCTGGGTTTCGACCGTGTACCCTTAAAGTTTTGATTTTTAATGGATTAGGATGAACAAGTAATGATTGAAAGGCACGAACGGTCAAACCTCTACAATGAAAAAAGTAAAGAGATTTAAGTTGTGAGAGGTATTGAATTCCTTCAAGTGATGAAATGTTTGTAAAATTACAAAGCTTAAACTCGATTGAAGTTAAAGTTTGAGGGTAGAACTTAAAAGCATTCATTAAATAAACATCATAAGTCAGATTATCGAATGAAAGGGAGGATAATCGACTCTGTGATCGTATTACGCTTGAAACATTTGTTGACTTCCCACCATAATAAAGGTTCAATTGTCTAATCGAAGAAGATATTGATAATAAGGATGTTAAAATGGGTTCATTTGAAACATCCAATGAAATAACTTTTAAATCCGATGTAATCTTTGGATTGGTTAAAATCAATTTATGCATTTCAGGTAGAAAATTAACCTTGCTAGAGCTTAATAACCTTAAATTATTTAAAGAAGCGTCACTATTTATAAATAATTTGAATAATAAAATACAAATAGAATCTATTATTTCTATTGAATTGGGCAAATTTTTTTTTATATCAAATCCTATATCTTCAATTAAATTTGGAAGAAATATCTTTCTACTTGGTCTAGCTTGAGTTGGTTCTACGCCGGCGATGGAAGGGAAACAATCGAGATGATTTATCCAATTGATTACATGCATCTCGAATCGAAATACATTAAATGATTTTAAAAGACTGGGGTAGTTAAATAAAGGTTTATTAGGTGAAGATGGGTTGATCGTAATTCCATATTTTTCTTTCAACTCTACCTTATCACCATCGTTAAAAAAAAAGTAATAAATTTCAAGGAAATTATAATTATGCCCTCTGCATATGACAAAAGGATCTTCCCAAAGTATAGGGATTGTGATCTGACATAAATGTCGGTTGACGAAGATACAAGAATAAAGTGATTTTAAATCATTCCTTAAATATTGTATAATTTGATTTGTTACTTCTGGTAAATTTCCAAGGAATAATTTGGAACAGGCCATGACAAGTATGGGGAAATAATCAAAAGAAAAAAAAAAATTTAGGGGATTAAAAAAAAAAGAAATTTTATTTCTATAAGGGTTTGATATGATCGTCATGTAGCACTTGTTTATAAGGTAATTAGATCATTGTACATCTACGTTAAACCAAAAAAGGTTACGGGTTCGCTTAATTGGTTCAAGAAAATACATGTGAACAATGAATTAAATTAGGCAGTCGAATTAATGCTAACCTTTATTAGAAGTCTCAATGTAATTAATCCATAATTATAGCTTTAAATAATGTGTAAAGAATTTCGCGATTAATAAAATAACTTGGAAGTCAAAGCATTTCCAATTTTGATTATAATCGTGTTTAATATTTGTTTGTAACACAAGTTTATAAAAAAAAACAATGAGTTGCTGAAATTGAACTTATACTTCAAAAAATAGCAAAATGTCTCGTCAAATTTAAATTTTTCTTTGACATTTTGTTACCAATTTTTAATTATAGATTCGGATTGGATTCTGAATGTTTTATTTATCAAATATCTCAAATAAATCTTTCTTACTTCAAAATTTGAAAATTGCTTGAGAATAAGTAATATTTTTAAAACTTCATAAACAATACTTTAACTCAATATCTCAATTGAACCTTTTGTATAACATGCTACTTCAACAATTGCAAAATATTAATTAAGAATTTAATATCAAAAATTTAGAACCAAATTTGAAAAATTATAAAATTATTTAAAAAGGGGAATTGTTATTAAAAAAATATGTTCAAATCGATTCTATATAATTATTGAATAAAGATAACTAAATTTTATTTTGCAATGAACGAATAATAATTTTCAAGTAATTATTAGTAGTAATTTATTAATGATTATTTCAATTTCCATATTATTACTAGGAAATATTCTTCACATATATTAGTTATGCAAGGTTTCATTGAGAAGTCGTAATTTCATGGCACATGGAAATTTATTTTCGTTAAAATAAACGTTGAATATATTCCGATTTCTCATCAAATGTCACAAAGTACTTAAGTCTGTTTTTTGTCTGTTAAATTTCTCCGGTTATTTGAAAAATAAAATAAAAAATAAAATATCATTTATTTATTGTAATTTTTTGTTGCTAAACGAAATATAAACATAGATCAAATAATTAAACTAAAGTTTATATTATAGAATATACTTTTTTCATAACTATTTGGTATGGGAACGAAATTTTTGTTTCCAATCACGAACCAAAAAAAAAAAATTAATTTAACCTGTAAGAGACATTTTAGTCGTAAATCAGTTAAACAAGCAACAATAAAGTCTCGTATAAAGGAACCTTGAAATTTAAGACATGACCTTATTATATCAATGTGCTTTTAATGGTAATTATGAATCAGTTTATTTAATCAGTAGCAACTGATTTATCGTTATTTTCTAGTTTTTGAGAATTTGGGACGAGGATGATTTATATCACACGCTAGTTTTATACGAGAAACAAACATTACGGCAAACATTTAGGATATATTTATTGTTTCAACATAATACATATATATAAAAAATGATAATAAAATTTTAATATTTATTCCTACAAATTTATATTTCAAACTAAATGTATCTATCAATTTTAACACCACTTAAAAATTGTATAGCCCTGGGTTGATTTTTCAAAGCGGCCATCTTTAAGTATTGCAAACCTTTTTCTTTATCTCTATTTAACCCAACCATACCAGCATAATACATCCTGCCCAAATTAAATTGAGCTGTAGCATTACCATTTTCAGCTGCTAAAGTTAAATATCGTAAAAAGGCATCAGTATCTTGAATAATTTGCTCATGATAAAGAGAAAAGGCATAACGTAATTGTGAATCTGCTACTTCTTCATCCGCTGCTTCTTTAAAAAATTTTGTTCCTTGTTTGGTATCCTTTTCAATATGATACCCTTCTGTTAAATAATGAGCTTTCCAATATTTTGCGTAATGATTACCAAGTTTTGCATGTGATTGAAAACATTCCCATGCCGGTTGACGATCTCCTGTTTTGTGCAATTTTATACCTTCCTCCAGTAATAAAATTGGTTGAATCATTGGTAAGAAATCAATTTTATAATCGGTAACTTCTGGTATAGGATCATCACTATCCCCATCTATATTAATATTACTATCCGAATTGCTGCTGGATTTTTTTTCTGCATCTATTAAGGGATATTCTTTAATCGGTTTCTTTTGCAGTGGCACTCTATTTATTAAAGAATATTTTTGTTGCAAATCATATAGTTGATTAAACAATTCATGAAGCCCTGGTCGAATTGTTGGATCATCTTGCCATGCTATTATGAAATTATGAATCAATATAAATACAAACTAACTTGAAATTTTGATGA